AAAAAAAAAAAAAAAAAAAAAAAAAAAAAAACAATGCGCAAGCGGCTAGCGAGCCAAGCCACATATTTTTCAAGCTAGCCGGCCCGTTCTTGGCTTGCCCAAAGGAGCACGGCCTGCTCGCCTGGTAAGTCAAGTAGATGAGAATCGACGAGCCAAGTCAAGCTGGCTCTACCCATTAGCATCCTAATTGAGGTCAAAGTCGATTCTATTTTAGTACGAGATTGCTTCATACTTATGTTCACCACTTAATTGGCAATCAATTTTTATGATAACTTAAGAATCTTTGATAAAACGTGATATATTTATCACACCTTGTTTGGGTCTTATTTTTTGTTCTTTTTGTTCGAATTATAAGTTAAAAAATGAGCAATGAACGAGTGAATGATACATGTGTGTTCTAAGAAATGTGTGATTAAAATTAATATTTCACATTGAAAATAAACATTTTAACCAAAAATTAAAAATTAAAAAAAATAATAATAATAAAAAAAGAACCCAATCAAAGGCTACTTGTCCGGTTTATCAATTATTGTGATCTCAATTTTCACCTCTTCATGGTAATCATATACTATATTCATAATCCAACATTTATATGTAATATACTAGTGAATGCACTTGCGTTGTACAATGGGTCCAATGTAAGTAACAATGTTGGATTTTGGTTGTGTGAGATTTAAGTGGAAAATGAAACCCGCTTTGAATGGAAATTATATGGATTATATAAACAGATCATAATTAGTATACTTCAGATTTGTACCAGCTGTAACTTCAATGCTATTTGTCAATGTATTCTCTGGGTGACCTGGGGTGTGATTGCCCAGTTTGCAAAAGCGTTCGAGGTCTTCAACTAAATGGAAAAACAAAATTAATTGCCTGGAATCTCCGCCAAATTTAGCTATGAAATTAAATATTCGCATGACATTCATCTACTTTGATTTTCTTCCAGCATAGGAAGAAATCATAAGTAGCGCAAGAAAGAAAATATCATTGCCAAGATCATATGAAATTTATGCGTGTGCATTCCTTCACACAACCAAATCCATCTTGCTCAAAGAAACTCTGATGTTATAACGAAACAGAGAGAGGTGGAGACACACATAGTATTGTGCAATTGGAGGCATGGTGTTCATGTCATGACACAATATTACGCCCTATAATCAGCAAGTACACACAAGAAAGTGTTGAAGACCAAACCTAACAGCAAAAACAACATAGGCAAAGTTCTCGAAATTCAAGGAATACTTAATACAGGCTGCGAAATGCAACCATTAGAAAGACTAATAATCGTAGTATGAATGATTACTTACAAACTCGACCTAAAACCAAATGAATGATTTTACGTGTTTGTAGTTTTACTTAATACATGAGTGGAGTGAAATATGAGAAATGTACTTGACCCCAAATAAGTAAGGGATAACATTTGATCGAGGTCTGAATTTCAACGAGTTTCACATCTAATAACTTTGTCCACTCCAATTCAACTTGAAAGCACATAACTATTGCTTACCAAAACAGAGGGAATTGTCTAGAATTATACTTTTGTTCATTTTTTCCTTTTATGCATTAGAGAGAGATGTCATTTACTTAAATATAAACAAGGCTACAAAGTATATATAATGCGAGACTACAATGTATATATTTCCTTATAAAAATACATGGCATTTCGTTGTTAACCATGGCTAACAAGTAGTAAAAGTTGCACACATTTGGATTACTGCTACAAGAAGAAGAAAAAAAGCAGAAATGTTAAAGAACAACAAGATTGAACAACAAGATTCCTATATACCTTGTCAGAGCCCTTAGAAATAGCCCTCAGTCTGAAGTCACTGGTAACGCACATGGAGGCATGAGAAAAATAAAATCCATTTCCATGTCCATGTTTCAACAACCAAACACTTGGCCATCCCCAAATCCAAGAGAATTTATCAAGAATGGAACTTGCTCAAGCACTACTATTGAAGATTATGGAGTACTACTCCTAGAAAAAAATCGTTTTCGGAGAGGAATAAAAACTGAATATTTAACCGTTTTATAGCCTCTTACAGATGGTTAAAAAGTTTTGAATTTGATCAGCACAAGGACAAGGTGAAGTAAAAAAACATACATACACTTATTCTCTTTTATACAAATTCATAGACAAAAACATACACACTTACTCTCTTTTATACAAATTCATAGACGTACTATTTTAGGCTAGGCCTAATAGATATAAGAAACATATTCAGTTGAAGTTGCCAAACATTCCATGCTAACTACTCCCCATGAAATGTCTACAGCTGCAACCAATTAGAAGAGCATGAAGTTTATCCCAGTGAAGTTGATTGTTAATGACAAAAGGTAAACATTTAATAAATAAACTTACAAAATTATGGCAACACTTACCAAACTTCATCTGCATAACCATGCTCCATAAAATTCACCAACTCATCAGCATATGCGATATCCCAATAACTTTGAAAACCCAGCAATGATGAAACTGCTTCAACATCTGGCTTCTCCTTGTCATAACAGCTCGTTGCAATAGGGAAATTTCACAAATTTTGGATAACTGCCTATAGCTCAAATTTTGGCAACAATAATTCCTTTGAACAAATTGTATTAGTGTTGTGGTCAAAGGGCATCACATCCAAATACAAGAAATCAATATTGCTTGTTCATTATAAGAACTCTCTATTGTTTATTGTGTGAATTAAATAGCAAGTTGTTGATAAAAAGTAAACTTCATCATTATTAAATTGTTATATTGTAACAATTAATCCAATCAAAATTCTTACCAATACAAATTATGCATTAAAAATTAATGAAACGCATAGGATAACATAAAGTAAAATCAAGTTCACGCATTACATTGACTCTCGCTAATTACAAGGTGTCCATTTTCTTCCGCACTCTTCTCATTAAAGAACATTAATTTACTAGCAAAAAAAAAAAAGAAATGAAAGAGCTTAATTTCATCGGCACGAAAAAACTTTAAAAGAAAGCAGCAATCTTATAACTACACACATTTACAGAAAATGAAATCAAATGTTTTAAGAAACATGAATCAATTTGTTACCAAAGAAGTGTAAGCATAATTTATTAATAGGAATACAAATATCGGGGGGGAAAAAAAAACAACCACCTGTTTACCCCAATTTGAAAGACAAATCACATGAACAAATTTTGAAAATTTCTTTCAGAAGGAATTTTAACATGAAAAACGGATAAATGTACAAATGAAGCCACGAAGTCAAATAGAAGCCAATCTTCGTAAATTGAAAGATGAAGAAAAAACCCTTAAAATCAGATAAAATCCCACCTCAGTAAATCGAAAGTACAGAAGATAAACTCATAATCAATTACTTCCCACTGAAATCAAAAGTGTGTAGAACAAGCATTTACTATATATGTACAAAAGAAGCCACGAAATCAAACAAAAGCCAGCCAATGTAAATCGAAAGAGGAAAAAATGACCCACTCAACAAATAGAAACCACAAAAGATAAACTGACCATAGAAACCAGAAGTCTATACAGCAAGCATTTAATATATATTGAAGTTTAATGTACAAATCCAACATAAAAATAACAAAGAATATTTAACCAATGAAGTCGAACAAGCCAATACAAATTGGACTCTGAAATCCTGCAAAAAATTAGCCACAAAATCTGAAAAAAGCAGCCTATGCGAAAGAGGAAAAATAATCGATTAAATCAGATTAAATCCCGCCTTAACTCATAATCAATCACTGTCCATGGAAACCAAAAGTATGTACAAAAACCATTTAATATTTATTAAACTTTAATATACAAATCCAAAAAAATAACATATAATACTTAACCGACAAAGTCGAACAGGACCATGCAAATCAAATTGCTAGAATCCTGCAAAAAATTGCAAATAAACAAATATTCAAGATTTCATCTAGATGGAAAACAAATCTTTAAAAAAATAAATAAATAAATAAAAATAAAAATAAAGGATAAGCCCATTTTGAATGTAGTAAGGAAGACAAATTTTAAAGATTTCTTCCATATGAAAAAGATGTACAAACGAAAACTCTCAAATCCACAAAGTAAGACAAAAACCAAAACAAGAACCTGTTAGGTCCAGTGAGATCCAGTAAGAAATAGTGAAGCCAAGGTACAATCCAAACGAGATCTACAAAAGAACAGAGAGGATCCAAAGGCAAAAGAGAGTCATCTAGTGAAACCCACAAAGAAAAAGAGACATTGCAGCCGACGTGCTGAACAAATGAAATTTACCAACGAAGATGTAAAACCCAACAAAGAAACAAGAGCATTGACTTCCACAAAGAAAGAGAGAAAGAATGCAACCAGTGTACAAAGCAGACGAAATCTCCAAAGAAAGACAGAAAATCCAAGAAAGAAACAAGAGCAAATAAACATCCTACAGAAGCCAGACAATCTATAAAGGAAAAGCCAGATGATCTACAAACGATGACAAGAGACCCAAGAGAAAACACAGAAAGCCCCCAGGAGAAACAATAAAAAATGAATGTTCAAGACAATCCAGACGAAAAGATTTCTTTACACCAACCGACCCATACGACTCGGCTAATCGGCTGACTTGAACACAGCTTGGCTTATATGGCCATTAGACTTATGAACAGTAAATCAAACTCCTTTTATATGTAGTTAGCTATAGAACTTGATAACTATTCTATAAATTTTTTCGCCTTTGCAGATTTCGTTGAATACACAAAAATCTACTTTGTCCATCTAAGCCAAGCACGTGGGCAGAGTCAATTTTAATTCTGCTGTATAACTAAGATGAAGTTACATTCATCCTTGCTCTAGTGCAAACACAAAGATGACGTTTATATTCTAAGAAGCAACATTTCTTCAAAGATTCTCAACTGAATATACTCAAGTGTTAGGCAGAAGGTCAAGACGAAAGTTAAAGCTAACACTTACCTCGGATCAAGTCAGCACCACCTGCAGGTTCATGAGAGATTGTAGGCTCCCAAAAGGTAATGGAGGCGTGCCAAAAATTCCTCGGCCGGACTGAGATTGGCCCTCAATTGAAATGCCAGAAGGGAGCTTGACTGCAAAAACCATCCTCGAACAGGGACATGATTGAGAGGGACAAGGGAATTTTTGTAATGAATAAAATGACATAAATCAGTTTTCTCATTTAAGTTAACACGTCCAAAAAAAAAAAAAAAAAAATTATTAGTTCATCAAAAGGCTTCTAAAATAGTTAAATAAAACCACCATCAGAAGTTCGAAATCACAACCAGCAGTAGAATTACATGATTCTGCTGCAATGTCAATACACTATTTGACGATGGAATATAATTTCTGCATGGGGAGAAGATCTTGGTAATTTTTGCAGAATCTCTTCGTCTTGCCTGTAATCTGTTCCTGGACTGACAACTATAATTAATTTTTCTAGGGTACTTGCATTTTCAAGCAAGTATAGTATCAGTTCAAGAGTGGGCAGCCCAAGACCTCTGACTCCTCGGTAGCCGGTAAATTTCACTGTCTTTAGACGGGGCAACATGATACCAGAAACTTTGCGGAATCGCAGAGTATCCCTCCTGCGGAAACACCTGAATTAAGTAAAAGCTGCAGGTATAAAGTTAGTGTACAGCGAGAATTTTGAATATGTATGTATTGATCCTGTCAAATGCTAAAATTATATATCCCCTTTAAAGAAGTCTGCAGCTTCAGCTAACCAGAGGCACAAATTTTATGGGATGAATGTTGGAGAGAAACGGAAATTTTACAGTACTTGAACAGAAAAGCCTGGGATTTACAGTAATATAACACAATCTAGCCTCCCGTTCTTTCGATGGTTTTGCTTAATAAATAGAGGCATACAAGATAATAAAAAAGAATAATTAGATAACCAAGAAAACTTTTGACTCTTTGATCAACAAAATCAGTTTTTAATTAATCAATCAAAAGCAAGGTAGTGAGATAATCTTACATCTGAGCAACCGTCACAGGTTCTGTTTAGAATTAGTGTCTCAATGCTCAGTGAATTGAGCAGAAGTCTAAATATCCCAGGTGTATCAACTTCATCCAAATGTGCAGTTAGCAGTAAACTTTTCCAACGCATAGGTGGAGTTTGCAAGCCAATCATCTCCCACATGGAAAGCATCTTATGTATATCAGAGAGAAGGGAAGAACAATCCCGTTAGGTTCCACATACCTGTCATGCAAATTTTTTTAAATATTCCCAAATAAAATGAGTTAAAGAGCATTTTTTGTTTCTCCATATTGGAGAAATCACATCTTAAACAGAAAATACTTAAAATAATTCGAATACATTTGAAAGCATTATTAGTTACTGCCATTTAGGAGCAAAATCAGGAATACAGAAACTAGCGAGACCATTTCTGTAGACATTAGCTTGCCGTATTCTCATAGAGATCACTGAAGGCGTTATGATGTTCTGATTTCTTTAATTACTTCATTTAAGATAATTCTAATAAGGTTTGTACATTTATAAGCATCATACAGGAATCCCGAGCACATTTCTAACCAAAAAAAAAAAAAAAAGAGCAGTTGAAAGAGTACTACATTCATGATTATCAAAACTCAGCTCTAAACACATGTACGAAAAGCATCATGCTCTTTTCAGCTCAGTTTGCTGGAGTACTAGATAAAATGGAGAACCATTAAATGGCAAATTTCATTGTATTTGGAATTTCATTAGCAGTGATTTTCTACCAGTTGTGATTTGTATATATGTAAACCATGAATGGAATGGAGCGAGCATGATTTAAGATGAACAAACCTGAATGCAATAAGGCCCCAGGTTGATTTCCTTGACATGGTGGAGGCTTTCAAGAAGTTGTTTTGCACAATGATACAGAGCGTACGATTAGTAATTAATTTTTGCAGTAACAAGAGAGGAGACATTTATCAGCTGAAAACCTCTGCCATAGGTAGTGCCCAGAATGTGAAGTGACTGAATATATGGCGCTGATATTTCCAACAGCAAATCAGAAAATTCAGCGTTACAATTTTGTATCACCAATGTTTTTACGCCTGCAAAGTTGATATTTAAATTCTTCATCTGACGGCATGCATTTATTTTCAAGAACTCTAGAGCAGGACTACCAGATAAAATCATTTCAATGGCGTCCTCGGTTAAGTCCACTGTCGAGATAGATAAACTCTTGAGTGATTTCCATGCAACAGCTCCGTTTAACCCCAAAATGCAATTCTGTAGGCTTAAATTTGTTATTGATGGGGCTTGATATACATGATGAGGCAATTTGTAGGGTCTGATTGGTGAGCACAAATGCAACCGTAAATCAAGATCTTCCACCTTATTTCGTATAGCCAACAAAATCCAGTTATCAACTTGGCTAGCATAGCATTTATTGTACATGAAATCAACAGCGAACTTTTTCATATAACCAGCCCTGTAATTCTCTAGTGTTCTAGTGATCCTCTCAACAAATGGCTGACTACTGGGAAGAGAGCAACGGTTGTGAAACATGAGTGTCGACAGAGAAGTCCAAAGGGATTTCCATCTTGTCAACAATACACTAGTATAAACTGCCTCCTGTGTGCTTAAAAAAGAAAGTATGTAAAGGAGTACCGAGTCATGTCACTTAATCGATCTACCATTACTCTCTTCAGCCTATTTTTCTGTGGTTGTGATGGAAACCACGGAATGCATTTTTCCATTATCCTTTCTTCTTCCTTTTTTTCGTCCACCCCTTGGTTGATGTTGCTATCAGACTCTTCTTTTCTATTTTCTTCCCCTACACAGTAAACTACATGGATCCCGTTCACCATGATTTCTATCTGAAAATAGGGCAAGAGGAGGTAGAGATATGCGAGGAATTGAAAAACTTTACCATGGACCAGGATCCTACAAAACCACAATATTCGAGACAACATATCATCAGTTAGAAACAACAAAGAAAAACCAAAACAGCAGAATTCACACATATCTCAGCATAAAAAGCAGCATATTCATATCAAGAGTCGCCAATAAGGAAAACCTGACTAGACACTTTAAGCTTGATAATTTACAGAGAAAAAGGAAAGGTACAGATTATAAGACATAGGATTAAGAGCTACAAATCATAGGATTAAGAATTACAAATCCTAATGGGTAGTTTCATAAATTAAAATTGAATGCTGAATTATAAAGTAAACAGTTCACAATGTGAAAACTTGTTTGCTAAGTCACTGAATCTAATACTCAGCCAGGTTTTCGGAATTGAGGGAGGGTATGGAGAAGATGAAGATGAGAAAAGCAACTAGACTGGATGGAATTCGTATCAAAGTTTCAAGCGGTTTGGACAAGAAAACTGCAGATGAGATCTTAGAGAATAAAAAGCTGCCGGATCAACTAAGGAAGAGCAATAGGGTGCCTTTACATAAGAATAAAGAAGATATTCAAGATACTACAAATTATAAAGTTATTAATCTCTTAACCATAATATTAAATCAGAAGAGAGGGTTGTTGAGCACAAATTGAAGTGTAATTCAAAAGTATTGGAGAATTAGTTTGGTGGTGACAGCAAGAACTTCGATTCAAACCATTTACCTTCTTAAGAAATTAATGAAGAAAGTATGGAGAAAAGAAACAAGATCTGCATATGGTTTTTATTAACTTTGAAAATTCCCAGGTCATGGTTTCAAGAGAAGTGCTACAGTGAGTGCTAGCGAGAAAGGAATTTCCCTTATATATACCAATAAGATTAAAATCAATTCTGATAAAGCAGTCATTAGCTTGATTTGTAGAGGCAGTAGTAGTAGAGAATTTTCTATCACTGCGAGGCTTGCATCAAGGTTAAGTCCCTATCTTTTAGCTTTTATCATAGATGAGCTTACAAATATCAGATGACTTTCGTAGTCCATGTTATTCGCTGATGACATAGTTGTAATTGATGATACAATAAGAGGGTTAAATATTAAGTTATAATTTTGAAGACGTACTTTGAAATTTAAAGGTTTTAAGTAAAGCCAAGCCAAGACAAAGTAGGAATAAGGATAACAATATAATAAAGAGGTTTTGTTGTCCAAAAAAATAGTTGCCTTAGGTATTTGGTTTATGATTATTGACAAGAGGTTTGAAGAGCATATAATGCATAAGACTAAAGTTGGTTGGAAGCAATGAAGGAGAGGTACAAGAATTTTGTGTGATAGGAAAATCCTATATGATTAAAACGCTAGTTCTACCAAGCAATTAATAGACCTGCTATACTTTATAGTACTCAGTTTCGGAATATTCACAAAATAAACGTGTGTAACTTCAAAAGCAGCTTTGTTCAGAATAAGAACCAGCAGCTGATGAGTTTAACCATATGTAGATGATCGATGGAGAAAAAGAGTAAATTATGAGAGTATATTAGACAGTGGCATTTAAAAAAATAAAAAAAAATGGATCAGAAACTTTATTTAAGGATTGGACAGGGCAATTATATTGGGCTAGAATTAAGAATGGACTAATCTATATGGAGTTATTAAAGGCCATTTTATTTATTTAAATATTGAAAAGTTACAAATCAAGATATATTAAAATAACTGTGCACATAATCAAAACCACAAAATAATTTTCTCAAAATTACATTAAGGATTAGTGATTATTGACTTACTGAGTATTGATTATTAGTGCACCCCATGTACTTATATTGCTATGCAAAGCTTTTTGACATATTTTTCTTTTTTAACAGATTCTATATTACGTGCTGCAAATAATGTTAAATCATGTTTATACAAACAGGCAGACTTAAGTTTATTTGCCATTTTATCTATTTACTAAGGAGACTTGCCTACCTTTTTTCTCTCTTGTTCATAATTGCGACAATTTAATTATTAATAAGATACATTGTGGCTATGTTTAGTTCACTGATCACTGTCCAGATGAGTCGAATAAGAATGATTTTATGCTCATATTAGCCACATCTATGCCTGGTACAACCTGACTAAAGTTTCAAAGAAGGAATTTTATCTAGTAACTAGTTTAGAATAAGAAATTGTTCAAGTATAAAATTATTCCCAATTATATAACCTACATTTTTATCCTAACTATTGTGTATAAGTTCAATTGCTAATCAGTTTTGTAGATCAGCTTACTGTAAAGGAGGAAATCCAAAACAAGAGGGTAAATGAGAAATTGAAAACATTGATGATCTGCTCGTATATGATTTTTCTTTTTCTTTTTAGCATGTGTGATTTCGTCTTTACAGAGCAATGATAACAAAAATAAAAAAACCCATACAAAATTAATGACGATTGAGGGATGATTACCTTCAACTGAACATTGATGGCTACGATGAAACCTCAAAATATAAATAAAGAGGCATTTGGTGTCTTTGATGTTTAGGGAGAAAGAAAGGAAGGAAATTATACAATTGACGGTTCTCATCAGCACATTATAACGCCAAACCCCCTCCACAGATGGTTAATGCGCCAGGGGGGATACAAAAGTAGTGGGTCCAGTTTCTTAATCTGAAAATGAAATGATGACCAAATACTTATAAACCGGGTTAAACCAAAGACCAATTTGTATCTAGCTTAATAGCATAACCAAACAAGATCTAAATGCATTAGAACAAAAATACCAAATTTCTTCTCAGCAACACATCAACTATGCACTATACACTAGACACATGAATAAAAATATAAATGCATGTGTAAGCAAGTGATAGAGAGAGAGAGTAGCAGATGAGCATATAACCTGGAAATGCAGTTGTTAACAATGCCATCATTTTCTTCATTTCTTGTATTTCTCAACCAATTGTAATTAAGTACTACTAATAGATTTATCTAAATAAGTGCCTAGCATGAATGTGAACCTCGGAAGTGTGTAAAATAAGTTAAGCCAATTATAATTTGCCATAAAATGATATTGGTGGAAATCTTCTTGGTATATCTTGTGCAGATAACTCCAACTTATGTAGTGTGGTAGGATATTAATAGAGGATTTTCATAAACAATAGAAAAGGAAGTTTTTGTCTATCCAATATGCTATAAAATTGGTTAGTTTATATGTCTGGTACTTTAAAAGAAGAGATATTGCCATGTATTAGACCTTGAATGGGAAAGTTTAATCACACACTAAACTAGTTCAGGGATTCCACAGCCCGGGTTGGGGGCTTCTAATGTTGGAAAATCTTATAATGCAGCAGATGTTATCAACCAAACCAGAGCACTCAACATGCCATCATAAAGTACCAAGACAGACATCAACCATAAGCAGCAGAAATACATCAGCAGCATCTTCATCCAAAGCCCAGTAATCAAGAACACATTAGTGAGAACATTAAACTTGATTCTTCAAATAAAATCCAAAAGGTCACAAGCACAAGAAAAACCTGCAACTCTGTGAGTGCAGTTGTCAAAGAAATCCGTGTGTTGTGTTCTTTCTTCTCGTCTATTTATTGCCAATATCTTCATAGAACTTGAATAGTTTGGCTCATGAAATAACCATTACTTCCTGCCTTAAATTTTGTTTGGAGTTTATTCTAATGATATTGTTAGTCATTGCCTTTTGTATCTAGATTATATGCTAAACAACAAGACTTCATTTTAAGTTTCTGCAGTTTTGATGAAATGAAAAGTATAATGAAATAATAACGCAGAGCTTCTTCTTAAGAATGAAGAGAGCAAGAATAATTTTTATTGTCAAGTCTCAATCCATTTCACATTGGCCATATATCTGAGCTCACCTAGACCAACCCAATTGGAGCCCTCAAGACCTATCATTTTTATTTTTTCTGATTTAGTTTAAGAACTTTGCAATACAAAGTTTCATTTTGTTCTACCTACAGTTACCAATATTCGAAACACCTTATATCCATTGTAAGGACACTGCGGCTTATCCACATCACTTCATTCATGTAAATGGTAAACACCAAAAAAATTTATAACCTGCAAAATTAAATCTGAATTTCCCTATACATACATTTATCTATTCAAAACAGGAAGGGAATTTTGCATATCATATGTTGTTCGACTACCCGTAGAGGTGATATTTCCATCCAATTCCAATGATAGTAAGTAAAGCGGGACAATTAATTATTTGAGACTTGTAACAAAATATAAATATCTCCATAAAAGAGAACTATACTTACTTTCTTCATTGATTTTTGCCAGAAGGGCAGTGTCTATAGAAAATAACCAGACATACATGTAATTTCATATGCAGATATAGTAAGGCGATATGTTGGCATAATCCATAGTTGATGCGAACAGAAAATCGGATAAAAGAAAATTAAAAACACAATTTCATTAACCATAAATATTATTATATCAACTTATTAGTACAGAGTCTAATTGAAATCAATACTGAACTAAAATACAGTTAGAAAAATCCTGGAAATTTTTTATCTTACAGTCGATAGCAGTACTGAACGGCGTGACGACTGAACCTCGGAATTGCGCGGCCGTAAAAGTGAATGGTGAAACATGGTCTTTTCATTATTCAGTGAGAGGGAGAACTGGGAGAGGAGAGATTGGGCATACGGGCTATAATCCGAGTTAATTTTCCAGGATAAATATATGTGTACAAAATGTGGTTGGCAAATTCTTTCACTTCCAGTCACATAATGTGTGGACCTGCATGTATTTAAAAATGAATTCCCACCCTATTGTGATTAGTATGTAAATGATCATACGAAAAAAATTTGTACATGTATCATTGTTCAATTTTCTAATGGTCAGTAGACTTCCATCCGTATCTTTAATTATTAGGAACTTTATGAGTTTTCATCATTAAATTTATCCAAATATTGGATGTTAATTGCTCACATAACATCTTCTACAAATCTTTAATGAAAATAGTGATGTGAATAACAAAATATACATCCGACATCTCGTCACGTCATTAACAAATTGCTTTGTCTTTGATTATTCACTAAACTTTGAAAATGTCTTAAATTGTTTATTAAACTTTGAGTTTATCGAATTTTAATCACTATAAGCATCTCCAAATAACTCTTTAAACATAAAATACTCTCTATTTTTAGGAGTCAACCTTTAAAACATGTTCCAAAAGGCTTTTTAAATTAACATTTTAATTTAAAAAGTGGAGAGTCAAATTCACTCTCTATAATAAAATGCATACAAAGTATTTAAATTTTCAATGTAGAAAAATAATATAATAATATATACACAATAAAAGAGGGACTTCATTTAGTACTGTTCATCTGTTTTTTTTTTTTTTGGTTTTTTTTTTGTTTTTTTTGACAAAGCCTTTCCGTTTTTCTGCAACCAATGTATATGTGTCAGCTATTTTACCTTTTTTTTCCTTTCATGCAACTCCCCATCTCTTCATAGCTATATCCTATCGTCTCTCTTTCGCTCTTCTTCCAACTATCTTCTCATCGTCATTTCTCTAAGCATTTTGAAGAATCGATTTTCACGGATCTTGGAGGAACTGGATCATATATCCGTAAGCTTACTCATAAGTGCTTCGATCTATTCCTTTTTCGTATCTCTCTCTTTCACTCTTCCAACTATCTTCTCATCGTCATTTCTCTACGCATTTTGAAGAATCGATTTTCACGGATCTTGGAGGAATTGGGTTCTTCGATTTTCACGGATCTTGGAGGAACTGGGTCATATATCCGTAAGTTTAGTTATTAGTGTTTTGATCTCTTTTTTATTTCCGTGTATCAATTTATTATTTTTTCAGATTTTGGAGTCGCATTGTTTAATTTATGCTGCTTTCGGGGTTTTCCTTATTTTTTTCTTGATTTCATCTTTGAAGGAGCCAACCACAAAATACGTGCAATAATGTTTACGGGATCGTTAGGTTGTTGTGTATTTGTTTTTTAGTTTCTTCAGATGTGGTTTTCAATAAATATGTATAATTACGCTTTACGGACTGTTAAAGAGTTTTTAGTGTTGTGTATGTGCTCTTGACTTCTTTCAAATGGCCTGTGAATATGATTTTTCTTGTTAAGCATGAGTTTATTGCCAAATATTTTTACCCTCTCTTGCAAAATTGAATTCTAACTACCTAAAGTCTGTTATTTTGATGGAACGCCTTTTCTAGGCTTCCTTTTTGTTCCTCGGAGTTTGATATTCATATTAGATGAGTTCATCTTACGCTTTCTTTGAGTTTTTTCCTTTAATTTTCTATATTTATGTGAATGTAGTGGTTGAGTTCATATTTCGATTGCTTTAATTCTTTTTTTTGTACACATATTTGTGATGTAGTTAACAATCCTATAAGCTACTCTATACATGGATATAATTTTTTTTTTCCCCATATATTCCTCGTTATGGATTGATAAAAAATAATAAAATGTTTAAATATGGTTCACATGATGGCTTTTTGATCCTTATTCGTTTAGTAAGTTATTATTCAATGTCACCAATAGAGTATATCGTATTTGTTGGTGTAAATTTTGTTGGTACACTTCGATTTAATTTTTCCCCTTTACATGATTATGTTTTATTGAAGCTTGTACCTTTTCATTGTGTGGAAGCATATATATATCTGGGTTAGCAGTGCAACAGTTCTGACCATTTTTTGTATGTAATGTAATAAAAATCAGCTTTTGAACTTTTTCAGTGAAGAAGCAAGAATGAAAATCCATTTGGTATCTACACGACATCTTATGTTGTAATTTTTTTCCTTTTCTTGTTCATTCTTATGTGATTCTCAAAGCACATATTGTAGATGGCGTAGGGGTGTGAGAAGAAGACTATTTTTTTTAGACTTAAAATACCAAGTATAAAATGTTGAAAATAGAAGTGCAAAAGGGGTCGAACACTGAACTATAGATGCAATTTATTGTTAGAAATATAGTGAAAATATAGGGATTATCTGGATTTATAAGTTAGGCGGTGTAGATTTCATAATCTTGAAATAAGATGGCTACTATTGTCTTCTCCATTATTGTAGTTTAATTGCTTTCTTTTTATTTTATTTTTTATTTAAGCCTTCTTTATTATATATTGGGTCTTGATAAATTATATTTTTTGATGTTCATTTTAATTTACTTCTCTTTTTGTTCTCTTTTTATCAGGAGACTACTATTGATTACTAACTATCTCTTTCTAGTTTTCTTAATCTTTATTTGCTCAGTCCCTTTTTGGCTCATATTAATTTTCATTCTATTACATTTCATTTTTCTTTTTCCTATTTTCAACTACACAATCTTTCATAAAATAATATTACACATAAATCGAAAACCTTTTCATCTTTTTCAACCACTCATTTTTCAAAAAAACTATTCCACCCATTAATTTTTCCACAAAATGGGGGCTTAATTTGTTGTTACTAAAATTTCATAGAGGTAACTCTTTCTCATTAGCTTCTAATGGTACATGTCTTGTGGCAATTGTAATAAAGTCAACTGTGCAGATTTTGGTGAGACTTTGTCATGTATTTACTGTAAATATCTTTCCGCAAAGGTTGTCCCGAGTTAATGCTCACTAGATTCCTTTCCAGTACGAACGACAAAGAAATGCCTTGTTAAACTTCAAACACGTTCTTCCATATCAATCTTTCTTCTTAATGATAATGAACTCAATCTCCATTATCATAGGGCAAATGCTAATGTACAGTTATAATATGCAAGTGGAATCTTAATTGCAAATGCGATTGGCGACCCTGCTGAAACACTATTGAAGTATGATGCTGAGACTTTAATGAAGCACTCTAAATCATTAAGTGCATATATCATTACCTAACTATGTTAACTTTATCTATCAATGCATGATAATAGTAATTTTTCTATCCTCACTTTCAACAGGGAAGTGATCCAAACATTGATTAATTCATTCAAATGGATCCTGAAGAAGAACATATCTTTTATGTCAAGATCACACAATTGGAGCCAAACTCTACTGCATACAAGTATGAAATTATATTTGTCTTCGATGCATTCTCTACCATTGCTGATAGAATAGAACAACCAAGTGAGAAAGACATAGGTTTATGTCTTGCATAGGCAAACATCAATTATGATAATCACAAAGTTTCACCAACATCAGCAAAGCGATCACTGTTCTAAACTTCAAGTGAGCCAGTACTTTCCAACGTAAAGCTGAGCCAAAAATTGCTACCTCCAACTCAGAAAATGATCAAGTTACAATGAAGGGAAAACTCGATTAAACATCGTCGTGTATATTTGAAGGCAACATCAATACTACTACGTAAAAGTTTGATCTGCTTATTTTGCAATCATCTAGATGATTCTACCGCAGCCAGTTCTGAAAAACTTAGTTTTATTTTGTTGCACTGGTTACAAAAACTTTATGATGCTTTTGACTTGTAACTTCGGTGTATTTTATAGCACTACTTTTGCATGAAAACTTTTCCATGAAGATTAAGCTTTGTAAGAATGTACAAACAAGTTTCATGATGCTTTAGCTCGTAACTTCATTTTGATGGTGTATCAATGCTTTTGAAATGTATAAATCACCCTTTGCTTGCTCCCGAGAATGTTATTATGTAGTTTGTCTTAGTCTTTTACTTAAGATTCCTTTGGGAAGCATTAACCCAATTTTTTTTCTTTAAATTGATTCCTTGATAATGGCTCTCTTTTTGACATTGCTGATAAGAAATTCTTGTATCATGTGTGTTGCTTATGAATGACACACTCTTTTCTTATAATATAGCAGTTTTTGTGTTGATTGGTTCCAAGAAAAGTGGTCAGATTATTGCATAAATAGAATCCTGTAAGAAAGCACTCCAGTATGGTTATGCCAGAATGTAAACTTAATCTATACAAGTTTTTGTTTGATTGTAGTGTTCCATTTCTGCCTTGCCAATGTAACACACATTTTTATCAAAGAGTCATTGAATTTGTTCATGTATCATTTATTTTCCTGCAAATGCCCAAGGCCTTTGCAATTTTTTATGAATGGTTTGTTTCTACAATAATTTTCTTGACACAAATTATTGTGTTTTCGGCAGACACTCCAATGTGTAAGTATATATATTGAACCTGGAAAGTATAAAATATGAACGTCAACTCTATTTCCGTAGGACACTTTGATCCCATTCTTTGTTTGCATCTAAAGATTTTGGATAACAAAAGCCTTTTTTTGTGACAATGTTACTAGCCAACATTTCTTCTCAGAGTATAAATGTTATCTTAGAATGTGTTCTAATCTGCCTTAATTAAACTATGAAGCTAAACACTTATCTTTCATCTCGAGAATGACTAACATCACTCCACGCTATTTACATAGCCAACTACATTATGGCACGTGCCTTGCATATGCGCCCCACTAGTCTAGTGAAAAGTTATTTAAAATAAAATATAGTGAACAATCATAGCTATTTTTTGAGAATAGTAAAAATAAGATAAAATTGCCGCCACGGTACCAAACTTTTTATTTAGTAGCAAATTTTGTCCAAACCTTTCATTTGAGCCACCATGAGTATCAAACCTTTAAAAATTTTGTAGCTCAAGTCCACGATAGTTTGGCCACCAAAACCGTCAATTGGACCATCAAAACCATCAATTGACTCCCAAAAGTAAAAACTTCATTATTTTCCCAAAATAAGGCAGGAGTATTTTGGATAAAACACATTTTTTCTATTAAATCAAAAATTAAAAAATAAAACAAAAAATAA